ATTCATTCTTTTAATACAACAGTCATTTCTGCAGTTTTTGGGGAGGTCACCTCCTAATAAATGTCCTTACAGAAAATCTGACTGCTCATTTTAAATCGTTACTTTGACTTTTAATGCTTAAAATAATAGTTTTAATCACTGTGTGGTACTTTATACAACACTGTTAAAGAGTATTTTATAGATTTCATCAGATGCTAGGCAACAAAGTGACCTGATGACGTGTTACGCCTCCTCTGTACGTGATGACGTTTTCGGCAGGAATGCGTGTGATTTGCGGAGTTCCGCAGCAGGGAGGGTGACGGGAAGTCAAGCCGCCTCCCATCCGGTATAAAACCTCCCGGTCCGGCCACAGACTTCCTCTTTCTGTTACCTGGCTAGGGGCAGCTGCTTAGGCCGTGAAAACCCTGAAACACCGGTGAGTTGAGCCGTGATTCATCCGGTTTTAAGTCCGCTAGAGGCCGGCTAACGCGACAGGCTTCACCTTTAAACGAGCTAAAGATAATTAGCTTCATCAGCTCGAGCTGTAGCTAATTTAAATCTTTGATTTTAGGTTATGTAACATAACGCTAACCTGTGGAATTTATATAGACTAAAAAAATGATAAACTGCTAACCTTCGGGGTGACTCATAATTAAACTGTATTAAATTTAAACCTATAAACTGCTGATGGAATCACAGGATGAGTAAAATGCGGGGTTAAAGGAACAAAGGAGGCTGAAAAAAAAAAGCCACCATCCGAGAGGATGCTTCAGCGGCATTTCATCCCTCTCCTCCGCGAAACAACTGGACGTGTTCTCCAGCAGCAGGTGTTCGGAGTCCGGACGGGATGGACTCGGGATATTTCGAGGTCTTTGTAACTTTATCCGACGTGGCCGAAAGGGAAACACGTGTCTCGGCTGGCCCGTGGCCGACTGAGGCCTGCTAGCAGCTGCTTGCTAGCGGCTACAACTCCCGATAAAAGACCGGCGAAAACCTGATTTTACTTGTTGTAACGTAATTAATACGATTTAATAAAACTTAAACTCTATTATGTGCATAATAAAACACTCCTGAGCGGTGTTTGTTCGGTGAACTGGGTTTAAATGTTGTTGGTGTCAACCTTGTTAGCGCTGATGCTAACTGGAATGATATTACGTCGACGTTAAATTTCTCAAAGGACTAAGTTTTTTTTTATATTTATTTTTCAGAAACCAACAATGGGAAAGGAAAAAACCCACATCAACATCGTGGTCATTGGCCATGTCGACTCCGGCAAGTCCACCTCCACCGGCCACCTGATCTACAAGTGCGGAGGGATCGACAAGAGAACCATCGAGAAGTTCGAGAAGGAAGCCGCCGAGGTGCGTGGCTCCGTTCATTTTTACTCGTTTCTGCGTTTATTTCAAATGTTAGTCACAGCCAAGATGGCGGCCTCAGCGTGCCCAAGTGCCCGGCACGAGGGTGTAGCTGGAGCCGTGAGCGCGCATGAGGGGTGGGGCTTCAGCGGGAACGGGCAGTGGTGACTGCGCAGTCCTGTGTGAAGGCCTCAGGCTGCGGGAAACCAGTGACGAAATGACTTTTTAAAATATCATTGTTTTAAATATCATATAAATCATGACTTATTTATTAAATATCTTTTACATGTGAAATAAACCATTTAAATGTTAAGTTTTATAGTTGTTCAGGTCTATGTTGATAAATGACCTCAACTTGTCAGTGCCAGCTTAATGTGACTTTAAATGCTTCATTACATTTACAATATGTTTTGTTTCATGACTGATAGTATATGGGTTAATATTAGCTAAACATATTTTCAGGTTCCTGCTTTAAAAGCTACGTTTTGACACCTGGATCATTCTGATACAAACAGACCCAGAGATGAGCCTTAAATTGTCATAATACATTAATATTTGGCCTGAATCCAAATTTTATGTAATTTTAATGATGAATTTTTAATTTCATTATGAAGAGGAAATCTCAATATTTAAATATTAAGATTCACAGCTGGAAAGAAACTATTTCATAGTTAAGTTTAAATGAAACATTGATGTTTATTATTATGAAGGAATTCAGTTTTTGTGGCCTCTATATATCCCAGTTTCTTGACCGTGGTTTTGATGTGACGGCTCACATTTCTGCTGATTTTATAAAGTTGTTGATTAAAACCTGTTGTGACAGATGGGTAAGGGCTCCTTCAAGTAYGCCTGGGTGTTGGACAAACTGAAGGCGGAGCGTGAGCGTGGTATCACCATCGACATCGCTCTGTGGAAGTTTGAGACCAGCAAGTACTACGTGACCATCATCGACGCCCCTGGACACAGGGACTTCATCAAGAACATGATCACTGGTACCTCCCAGGTGAGGGCTCACCTTTAGCCTCGGCGTGTCGGTCATGTTTGCTTTAAATCTCTAACTGATGTAATTAATTTTGTCCAGGCTGACTGCGCTGTGCTGATCGTGGCTGCTGGTGTCGGTGAGTTCGAGGCCGGTATCTCCAAGAACGGTCAGACCCGTGAGCACGCCCTGCTGGCCTTCACCCTGGGTGTGAAGCAGCTCATCGTCGGCGTCAACAAGATGGACTCCACCGAGCCCCCTTACAGCCAGAAGCGCTTCGAGGAGATCCAAAAGGAAGTGAGCACCTACATYAAGAAGATCGGCTACAACCCGGCCGCCGTGGCCTTCGTCCCCATCTCTGGATGGCACGGAGACAACATGCTGGAGGCCAGCGACAAGGTGAGGACCCTGATCCACTGTTCAAACCAGTTTATGATGGGCCGGTGCTGATTTGTGTTGTGTTGCAGATGAACTGGTTCAAGGGATGGAAGATTGAGCGCAAAGAGGGCGGAGCCAGTGGAACCACTCTGCTGGAGGCTCTGGACGCCATCCTGCCCCCCTCCAGACCCACCGACAAGCCCCTCCGTCTGCCCCTGCAGGACGTCTACAAGATCGGCGGTGAGTTTGGATAAATTCACGTTACTTCGGATTGATTTAGATGTTCTAGACTCACACTCGCTCCCTTTCAGGTATCGGAACAGTCCCAGTCGGTCGTGTTGAGACCGGTGTCCTGAAGCCCGGCATGGTGGTCACCTTCGCNTACTTAGTTACTTTACAACTCTGAGCTAGTGTGGGCCAACATCTCCTGATAACTCTAATGATTGATCTTCAGCATCACTGATTTATGGTTTTAGTTAAAATCCCTGTTTGTCCTGTTCTCAGATGAGCTGGTTTAAGGGCTGGAAGATCGAGCGTAAAGAGGGCGGAGCCACAGGTGTGACCCTGCTGGAGGCCCTGGACTCCATCATGCCCCCGAGCCGACCCACCGACAAGCCCCTCCGTCTGCCCCTGCAGGACGTTTACAAGATCGGCGGTGAGTTTGGATTAATGTTACATTTGGTTTATTTAGATGTTTTAGACTCACACTCGCTCCCTTTCAGGTATCGGAACAGTCCCAGTCGGTCGTGTTGAGACCGGTGTCCTGAAGCCCGGCATGGTGGTCACCTTCGCTCCCCCCAACCTGACCACTGAGGTGAAGTCCGTGGAGATGCACCACGAGTCTCTGCCCGAGGCCGTGCCCGGAGACAACGTGGGCTTCAACGTGAAGAACGTCTCAGTGAAGGAGATCCGTCGTGGATACGTGGCCGGTGACAGCAAGAACGACCCGCCCAAGGCTGCCGACAGCTTCAACGCACAGGTGGGTGCTTCCTGTCTGAGAGGGGGGGGGCGGGGCTCGGTTTTAAGGTGCAGAGTTTAACTCTTACTGTTCGTGCAGGTCATCATCCTGAACCACCCCGGTCAGATCAACGAGGGCTACGCCCCCGTGCTGGACTGCCACACCGCCCACATCGCCTGCAAGTTCAGCGAGCTGAAGGAGAAGATCGACCGCCGGTCCGGCAAGAAGCTGGAGGACAACCCCAAGTTTGTCAAGTCCGGAGACGCCGCCATCGTCAAACTGATCCCACAGAAGCCCATGGTGGTGGAGCCCTTCTCCAACTACCCTCCTCTTGGTAGGTCTTTGCCCCGAACCCTGAAACGATCGATTTTAAAAGTTCAGTTTCTCATCCTCGCCTGCGTTTTCAGGTCGCTTCGCCGTGCGTGACATGAGGCAGACTGTGGCCGTCGGCGTCATCAAGGCCGTGGACACCAAGGAGGTGAGCGGGAAGACGACGAAGGCTGCAGAGAAGGCCCAGAAGAAGAAATGAATGGTGGTGCAGGACGTCCGGCAGCTGGGGGTCTCTCCCTCCATGGCCTCCCACCACCCCGGCTCTTCTCCCAGGCACAGCTCTCTACTCAAGGACTGGCTCATGCTGATTAAAACCCATCGCAAAAGTTTCCGCAGGAAAAAGCAACTCCGTGGCATCGCCTCAGTTTAAGTTTGAAATGGTTTAGAACTGTATGTCAATCTTTAAAATATGCCACAAATTAATTGGTTTAAAAAAAAAACAAATAAGCTGCTGGTAACTAATGAAAAATAAATCTCTGAAAAAATTGCAATTGGCTGGTCTGGAGTCCTTCAGTGTCTGCAGTTGGTGTGGATTTGTCTGACAGGCAGCTGTGAGTCGCAGCTGTTCTGACCAGAGCTCACCGTCCAATCGCCTCGGGACGCTGCAGCCAATCACAGCGCTCGATTTGACCATGAGCCTGCGCAGCCCTCCCTCTCTGCTGAGGTATAAAAGCTCCGTGCCGACCACCGTCTGCCCTTTTGCCTCTTTAAAGCCAGGATTTCTTGAGTTTCTGGGCACAGGTTGGTGAGCGTCTAATTTTAGAAATGCACGTTTGAAATTAAAYCTTATAAGTTCAGTTAAAATAGTGAGTTAATAGTATTTTGCATGAGTTTTTATAAACTAATGATTAGAGCTGAAATTAAAGCTATTTTAGTGTTTAAACATTTACAGGAAGAGAAAATAAGCTAAATTAGAAGCTTGTCCTTTTTGTCTCCGTGCACGCGGCGCGCGCTCCCGTCATAAAGAACATGGCGGCCGTGTTCAACATGGAGGAAAGTCGCGCCGCTTCGTGCGTGACTCAGCGCCGCTTTCCGGTGTTGTGTGGAAAAGTGTTCACCCGGTAAAACGGGGCTGTCGCAGTTTTTCTAGTGACGCACAAGTTTTTTTTTTCTCATTTTAAAACAAAGCGTGTTTGGGTATTAAAAGTGTAAATATGTGGTGAAATTTCTAACTCGGGTGGTTTAAGCGTGACTTTTTTTTTTTTAAATTCGTCCGTTGATTCAATGATTTAAACGCCTCATCTCGACCACATGACGTGTCCGCAGCCGGTGAACCGACATGGGAAAAGAAAAGACCCACATCAACATCGTGGTCATCGGACACGTCGACTCCGGCAAGTCCACGACCACCGGCCACCTGATCTACAAGTGCGGAGGGATCGACAAGAGAACCATCGAGAAGTTCGAGAAGGAAGCCGCCGAGGTGGGTTCGGCTCGGTTCGTCATGGAAGGAGCGCATCATGTGGTTAAAGTCACTGTGACACCGCCCCCCTGTGGCCAGAATCTGTCACTGCAGCAGATTTTACTAAATTTAAACAAAAAGTAAAGTTAAAATAATACAAACTATTAGTTTCATGACTGATATATAGATGGATGTATATGGATTAATATAAACATTTAAATACATGTGACCCATCATGTCAAAATTAGTCAAATTAGGTCAAAATGACTTCATCACATTTTCCTGGCTTTAAAGTGCCTGTGACAACATTTTCTGATAAATATGAATGCATTTTAAAAACATTACATTTATAACATTTTGTAAAAAAAATCATGCTGCTGAGATGAGCAGTTGAGATATTTGCATGTGAAGTAACAGGAAGTGATGTCAAAGGAAATGTCTGAATAAAGGCCAACTCACTGTAGAGAAGAATCTGATGTTTAGATTTTTTTAGCGGTTCAAATAATATTGTTTCAGTGAACAAAAACTGGAGTTTTCTTTCTGTAAGAGTTCCCCTCTGATGTCACTTCCTGTTTTACTTCGAAAATATGCCAATTATGTGACATAATGGGTAAAATCATGTATATTATGCCAAGTTTCTTAAATATAAAGATGTTTTCTTTGACTTTTTGTTTTCCATGGACATGCATGTCACAGGTGGTTTAAAAGCCACTTGGATACCTGTATCATCCTGATGGAAACAGAGATGAGTCCTAATTTGTCTTGTTGGTAAC